TTCCTGTTCCCGTGGGAATTTCGGGAATTCCTTGTTGTAACTAAGCTTTAAGTTTACTAGGGTACCTACATGCCAAATGTCAAGCGTCTAACTTAAGCGGTTTAGATTTTTCATATAAAAGGATTTTCCCGCTAATTCCTGTTCCCGTGGGAATTCCTAAGTATACTATAACCTGCCCAGGAGTATGAAGAATAATTGTACTAAATTTCGTTAAAATCTGTCGAGTAGTTTTTGTTTCTATAAGGAACATACAGACAGACAGACAGACAAAAATTTTACTGATTGCATTTTTGGCATCAGTATCGATCACTAATCGCCCCCTGATAGTTATTTTTAAAATTTATTTCATGTACAGAATTGATCTCTCTACAGATTTATTATAAGTATAGATAACCCAGAATAACATAGGCTATAATTTAAGACGATCTGTAACAAGCAAAATTTCACGCGGGTGAAGCCCCGAGCAAAAGCTAGTTTTACATAAAAACGAAAGGTCACTGACTGACTCACTCATCACGAAATCTCAGAAACTATAACACCTATAAACTTGAAATTAGGCAGGTAGGTTCCATAGAGTATAGATATCCGTTAAGAACGGATTTTACGAAACTCCACCCCTAAAGGGGTAAAACGGGGTCCACGCGTACGAAGTCGCGGGTGGCCGCTAGTACAAAATAAATACAAAATACACATACTAACTAGCACTTAGGGGTTCTCATCAACAAGCTATTGAATTAGCCGCAAATTATTTTTCCAGGAATAGAAAACATGAAGGTGGTATACGTAAAGGCTCGGTTACGGTGAAAACCCTAAGTTTAAAAGTGATTAGCTAAGAGAAGACTTTCTAGAATAAGTCAAAGACGAGTTTATTCTGTTTACCTCACACGTGTCGTGTTTTAGTAGGTACCTCAAACTTTACACTAGGTACCCCACCTAATTAGACCTGTCATTATCATTATTCGTTTCCTTTCTTATTTACCAGAGGAACATTAAAGATTTAGCTGACACCCACGTTGCCTAGACCGGTTTAGGTGGCTTGATGTTCGTATTTGTCTCTTATTTGTTTTTTATGACATCCACGAGAAGAGGGAGTGGTCATATTCTACTCTACTAACCACACGTTATTTTGAGTTGTGGATCCTTAAAAATGTTTTCTAGGATACAAGCACCTAAAGCACACCGAGCACTTATTAGACTGTCTGCAGAATTACCTAGCAGGACGGAATAAGTTTAAAATTTTTAAAACGTGACAGACAGTTTTTTTTTAATCACAAAACATAAACTGAGTTTACGCGTAGACTTCAACGAAGAGATAAAATTGTTAATTCGTTAGTTTTCTGGGAATAACTTTTCGTCGAAATAAAACTACACAACTAGAGCTTTTTATAATTATTTTTCTACCTAGATGTACCACGTTGACACTGTTGAACAACAATTCAATTTTGTGCTGTAAGCCTACTACTTAATAGATTTAAATAATTGCCAAGAATTACGGATTTCAACCAAGGTGGCTCTACATACCAGGCGAAGACTCTTCTCTTTTTGGTAGTCAGTTAAAATACAGCGTTATGCAACAAAAGAGATTAGAGAATCTCAATAAAATTGTAATCACCACCGAGCACCGAACTTTGAAAAGCGTGTGGTGGAATAATACCCACTCAACAAAAAAGAGATCGGCATAACAGAGTCCTTACAAAGGCCTTCGCAACATGATTGTAGTCGTTATCATAGAAATTAATGGTTGTTGCTTAGATTTTTTCGAGCGGTTTATTTATGAGCAAAGTTAACGCTGGTTCGGTTGTCTGACATAAATTAGGTGAAGCGACACCAACTAATTGCCGTCATTATGAACGGATGGCCACCGGCGAGGAAGCTTTAAAACGCTGCCTTGCTAGGTGACGTTTTATTTTGGTGCGCTTATGATAGAATTACAACGTCTAGGTTCGCCTTTAAAAATGCTGCACGCTTGTCAACTAATGAAGAAAATATGAGTACATTACAGCCAATCTGGGTAACTTTGGTATAACATATATTGTTATATTTATACGAGTAGATTAGGTATTTTTACTTGAAGAATACGGGGGACTATCCACAGTAGACATAAATATTTGAACTATAAATGAATAAATCTAAAAAGTTACAATATAATTTTGTATGTTAAAATGAGTTGGTTCCACCAACTCAAGCTTAAATAAATAAATAAACCTTTAACGTGCGCCTTTTCAGCATGGCTCAGTAATTTAACCTCTGTACATGTACCTATGCGTTGATCGATTGGTAGCAGCCTGCATCCAGCGCTTCCCTGCTACCTTTACGATGTCGTCAGTCCACCTTGTAGGTGGACGTCACACGCTACGTTTTCCAGTACGCGGCCTCCATTCCAGAACCTTGCTGCCCCATCGGCCGTCAGTTCTGCGTACTATATGCCCTGCCCATTGCCACTTCAGCTTGCTAATCCGTCGGGCTATGTCAGCAACTTTAGTTCGTTTACGGACATAAATGTTAATGCTGAATAAAGGTATTCTATTCTATTCTATTCTGTTCTGTTCTGTTCTGTTCTGTTCTGTTCTGTTCTGTTCTGTTCTGTTCTGTTCTGTTCTGTTCTGTTCTGTTCTGTTCTGTTCTTTCTATTCTATTCTATTCTATTCTATTCTATTCTATTCTATTCTATTCTATTCTATTCTATTCTTTTTATTGTCACCATAACAAAAAAAACACATTAACACAGCTTAACTATTAAAAATAAGGTGACAAGGGCATCCGGTAGGCAAGGGCTTAGACTTGTATCCTTATGTATCTTTAGAGATACATGCGTACGGAATAGGCTCGAAATTACGTGGTGGCGTATTGTCTGCGGAGCGGGATTACGGTGTGATTCCATCCATTCAAAATACATGCGTTAGCATGTGACCTATTTGTAGGTAAATTGCCGTGTATGGGAATTTGCGCTTGGGCCTTGTACTTACCTTTGTATCCCCAACGTTCCCAAAACTGAACATGGTGTTGGAATGTGTTACTACTGCTGAATGCTACTATATGGGTGAAAATTGTGTAGGGTGAGGTGGTGCAAGAGTGCGCAATACTTATATTTATTAAACGAGCTGAATAAAAAATATTTTTCGTCTGCGCGTGCTGGGTCACTATAGGTTCAAAATACCTACTGCTGTATTTAGCTATAAATGTCACATAGAACGCAAGAGAAATTCATTGCATACTCTTATCGCCCACGCACTCTTGTACCACCTTATCTTATATGGAATATCTACGAAGTAATTGCACTGGGTCTAGTCCCTACTCCATACATGCCCCATTTGGGACAGAATGAGTAAACTTATTTAAGTATTAATATGAGTCTTGCTTATATCAAATTGCCTAAATAATCCTGGGAAAATTTAATGTAACCAAAAACAGAATGATTTCCATACTCCTACGCAAAAAGTACGCTGCCTACACATAATATATTTTACACACAGAAAGCTTAAAGTTTCTAAGCTGTATTAGGTACTTGAGTAGGTACAAGGTTCGTAATCAAATGAAATATTTTTTGATTTTGTCAGAGCCAAATTTTATTAAACATATTTTATAATATACTTATTACTCGTATGTTCGCCGTTATTACAAAAAACAGCAACAACGATTGCGTTCGAATCAATTAGGTGATCCAAAAGCCTTAAGGCTCAGATAAAAGCCACGGTATTTTCCTTTATACCCGCGGTTAAAAGAATTCAATTACATAATGCTAAGAAGATTAAAAAGGCTAACACAACTCCTTTGAGATGAGGTAGCTATTTAATTATTGGAAACGTTCTTTCCATCGCAATGTTCCCGACTAATTCGAAGTTTGAAGTTTACTCGAATCGATAACGCAAAATTAATTTCCAGTTTAGAAAATCTTTGATCAGGAAATGATTGTTAAGTTGTTAATTTTGCTGTTTCCGACATCCTGAGCGTTTTAAATGTTATTTTGAGTGCCTAAAGATTAAACCAGAGCAAGTTGCGATGAAACAATTTAATATCAAAAGGTAGGCTAATCTTATCCGTGAGGAATTTTTCGTCTAAGTAAAGATTTTGACGTTAAAGCATATTTCCACTGACCATTTCGCAAAGATGTTTCGTAACTTGCGAAAGCTTTAATGAAATACCTGTCAACTTTATTTCGCAGAAATTTCTCACCCAGCCAGACAGATGATAGAATATCTAATTAATTTTTAAAGGGTCATGATGAATACATTAGGCGTCGGTGAGTATGAATTATGCAAGCTGCTTTTGACTTTGACCATAAATTATCATAGAAATTTCCTACAATCTATTTGTTTTTCAGCTTAGTTTATTAATACAGCGAGCTGAAGTGTCAGCGAGCCCTTGACTAAACCATATCTGTCGGAGAACCGGCGAGAAGTAGAGTTAAAGGGTGTTCACTACGGCATGACGCGCAAACGTAATGTAGAACGCACGCCCAACTGCTCGATGGATAGACGACCTCAAGAAGATGACAGCAGCTGGATAAATAAAGCGGAAGGTGGTGTTTTTTGGCATACTTCCAGGGGGGACTTATGTCCAGCAGTAGACTAGGCTGTTATTGGCTGATACGATGATGATATATAGTTTATTAACGTAACTGTAAGCTTCTACGAAAATTTCCAGTAAGTAATTCATTTTACAGTACTGGATCCAAAAACAACAAGCGATCAGGCTCTGATTCCAAAATTATGATAACTCAATTATTGTAATACGTTATATGGCCATATTGGTTTTGAGCAAAACTCATTAAACGAACTAATTAGCCTTGACGGAATTGATTGAACGCAAATATTGTGAAAGGGTTGTACAAATGGACGATATCGCGAATCCAGTAGCATCAGTATTTTATTCTCCAGTAATTTTCAATACTTCAGCACCAAGCTTTACCAAATATCTAATTGCATCACGTGTTCTCAGTCTTTTATTCTAAGTGGAAAAAATACAAATTCAAGAAAGGTAGTTGAAAATAAAACACAATAAGCGGTACAATAACTTTTATGTTGGCTGGCGCCCGACCAAGATGTAAATAAAGCTTTTTACACTTGCGTTATGAAGTCCCGGTTCTGGTAAATTATCTTCCACCCAATTCCATATTATGAAATGTACCTTTACCGTTCCATTTTATTCTCGTGCGGCGTTTTATAAGACACTTGTGAAACAGTACTTAATCCTCTACGCTGTGTGCGATTATGTATTCTATTTCTGAACCTGTAAGGTTCTTTTTCGGGAAGGGGAAGTGAGGATGTGGGTACCATTTCGCTGGAGTTCTTAGTCTATAATTACTATTGAAAGCTAACAGTACTGCGACCTCCTCCGGTGTGAGAGAGAAGTCGAAAATGTCGATGTTTTGCTTTATGCGCTCTTTGTTAGTTGATCTCGGTATGGCTACTATTTGCCGGTCCAGCTGTAACAAGATAAAATATATGAAGAGTAAGTAAAAATAAATAAAAGAAAAAGTATTTTGTTGTACTTATACAAAATTGGTTGTTTTCATTCACGTTTTAGCAAAGAAATCTACATCCAAAATTACTTTAAACTTTTTTTCCGTATACAAATTCTAAGTATTGTTTCCCAGAAAAGTTTCTAGTTTAAAGGTCGTGAATTTATAATGATCACAATACAAAGTACTTAATATCAACATTAATTTAAGTTAAATTAATGTTGATATTAAGTCCCCATAAGTCGCTAGACTACGTTGTTGTTAAGGGTCATAAAAATTACTATTAACTTCAACTAGACTACTATTAAATTCTTGATTTTCTCGTTTAAAAAGTCGTTAAGTAACAATAATTAGGTAGATGCTGACTCATTGAATTTTATAAGACCAAGTAGCAAGTAGTTGTGCATGATATTGTAATACGCAATGCAATCCAATCATCCCTTAATCCCACGCAAGCTTAGCCCCAGCACGATGTACTCGCAGTATGTAATATATCAGACTGAATTGTATAAACATCTTGGAATATGATGAAACATGACATATATAAGAGCTAAGGGGCAGAGCTAACCATAATTGATCCCAGCGATACCACTGGGATTGATTTTGGAGTGATAATAAAACTGTTGAAACCAATCATATCACAGATGGCTTAATTCAAAATGGTGTAATACAAATATCAGATAGTTAAGTAGTTTTTATCTGTAGCATTGGTATCATATTTAAAAGGTTGCATCGTTGTTCCTGTAAATATAGGCACAAAATGTTGTTGTGCCTATATTTACAGGAAATGCTTTTTACATTTCACAGTAAAAAGCTTTTAAGAAATAAATCTATGATTTGTAAAGTGCCTGGAAACCGATTGAACATAACATGTTTATGCTGCAATACGTTATCTTTGCATTCGAGTGGAATAGCAAGAAAAAGTTAAATATCGTAGTTCTGTTGTATAAATTATGCAATACAAAGCTTGCCTTGATGCTCATAATTTGAAATTATAAATTGTGTCGGTTATTTTTCCCTGTCATCTTTGCTTTTCTATAAGAATCAATGCTAGTAGTATTAAATTTTATTCTACTCACAATATTCACAAAAAATCCTTCTTTCAAGATTAACTTTTACAACATTTTTGTTAATTAACCATGCAAATATTGATAAAATGAGCATGTATTGTTTCGACTTGGTAAAGTAAATCTATAGCCGATATCGGTTACGTTGCCTTTCGTGGAATTCATTAAACATTTAGTCCTGACCATTAGTTGGGAATAATTTTCACTATCTAACCGGGTTCCGCAGACAAAGCACTCAGAGACGGATGATGAGGGTCCCGAATGGACGTGGGCCCTTATGATCAGAGGTCAAGTCCATTACTTTACTAAAATCTGATATAATTTATAGATAGCTCCATAAATACATCAAATACAGCCCTATAACAAACCTGTCAGACTGTGCTTATGCAATTCAATTAAAAAGTTAACGTAAAGCGCTTTTAAGAAGCCTACCTATTTGTAGAAAATAAATGATTTTAAGGCTGAGTTGCACCACTTAACTTTAACCGTAACTTTAACGATAACCGGTGTTTTTGTATGGAGTTTGACAGATTTTTGACGTTTGTTACAGTTAAAGTTTTCGGCACGCATGCGGATTGTCTGTATTTCATTATTTCTTAACATGTTTTTCCGTTCTGCGTGCGTGTAGCCCGCCGCACACGTGCCGAAATTCGCATCATAGAAAAAAGGCAGTAATCTGACTTATAATCTACAATTCATCAACTTCGGATGTAATAAACAATAATATTTACTTTCAGCATTGTTCTTGAAAACATCTAATTGAAAAGGCACATAATACTCATTTCGCGAATGCGAGATAATACAGATTTAATTAAATAGCAATTACTCGCTAAGATGATGTATTATGAAGCATTACTTTCTTTCCTACGCAATTTTGCACCAAGTCATGTTTCCTTTGTATGTATTTAGTGTTCTTTTTTGCTTCTGATATTTAATAACGTCCAATTACAGTCCCATAAGGTATCAATAAGGCACAATATTATAATAACATGGCAATGTTGTGTCGTGTCTTGAACCTTAATATAGCTATGAAGCCAAATAGGTATTACCAGCGTATTTTTTAGTATTAGTACTCTAGTTATAATTATTATGCCAAGATATTTCGGTTCGAAATATTTTATGGGTTTATTTTGATTAATTTATTCACGAGGACTAGGATATCATTTTGGAATAAAAGAAAAAAGAAAGCAGCCCAAACTAATAACAAAGCAATATGAACTAAAGATTTTTTATCAGTAATCAGTAACAATGTCACTACGTACTTATAACGTAATGGCATAAGCGACAGGACAAATATACCCAAAAATACAAAAAGGCGTTACGAATTAGCCCCGCAACTCACGCGATTTTGAAGTAAATCCTCAAATCATTCACACAATTCACATTACCTGCATGCAAGCGTTTCAAAATAGACAAAGTTTGTTCAGTAAATAAGCACATCACTGGTGAAACCAATTTAACTGTTTTGCCAAAAAGTCCTTTTTTTGCTGAACAAAACTCGTTCAAAATAATCGTTGTGCTTTACACGTTAAAGTAAATAATAGAAGCGCTTGGAATAAGCCCGTCTACTATGGTAGAGACACGGTTATTTGAAGAGCGATTGACTCGCGGAATTCCTAAAAAATATTTAGACTGGCGTTACAAAGCCAGCGAACACGTTTTATGTAGTTACGGCAGATGCACTGTTGTGATACAACATTTTCGTATTTATTTAAGTTTTTTAAAGGTGAACTAAGTATGATACGAACCCACTCGTATCATTGTTCTACTTTTTAATTGTTTAACATCACTTTTATAAAATGTTTATACAAAATTGTCTGTGTGTTTTTTATTTAGATAACACATTTAATTAAAATAAAGACTAGATTTTTAGAATGAACTCTAATGTCAAATTTTTCTCGGTTTTTCAGTCAGTTCCCTGAATGTCGTCGTAAACAACTGTCCCTATTATAAAATTCAAGTCTGTATTACCCGTCCTCTGGCTATGAATTGGGGATCTGTGTCACGGTCATCTCCTATTTAAAAGCAAGGGACGTCTGGTTTTACCCTTATATTGCCCCGAACGGACTTTGCCCCATTACGATAGCCCCGTGCGTGCAATACCAACCAACTGAAAAAGATGGGTAAAGGTAGATAAACACTAAACTTACAAGGTATCTAAGCAGTATTTGAGGTACAGTCTTCCCGTGTTGAGTGGCTATCCTTTGCAAAGCCGGGTCGTCTGCTTTAGGAGGCGGGGCATCTGGTTTTCGACCCAATATTGCCCCGAATGGACTGTACCCCATTACAATAACTCCGTGCGTGCGACACCAGCCCACTAACTCCTCTTGAGTTATAGATGGGTTCACCTGAGAATGAAAAAGAAACAGTGAAATATTTTTAATCTGCTTGAAAGGCGGTGAGGTCGTGTTTCAACTCTTTGATATATTTTCAGACCATATTTAATATTACTGGCTTTTTGTTTTTAATAAACTCCCAGGCTGTACGTACTGCTATGAGTCTATAAGCCGTATACAAGCTATTGAGGATTAACTAGATGGGAAATAACTATAAATTAATAGGTGGACTGGAACTTGGTTAATTTATTTTGTGTGGTATTTTTCAGTATCTCAGTATAGAACGAATATGTATAAAAGACGTCTGAAACACAATAAATATTTGTTTTAATGCATCAAAATTCAAACAAATAAAGAATGATGAATTCTGACTTCTACAACTCAAACCCAATAAAAGTGTAATGTAATAGACACGTCAAATCTGTGCAAACTTCTTCAATAATAAAAAAAACATCTTACTCGAAATTGTCGCGGAACGATTTCAGTCTGTCTCGAAGCTATCTCGACTTTATAAAGCAATTCAAATAGTGGCAAATGAAGAGAATATCGAACCGCTTTAAATTCTAAAATGATTCTTATAAAAACTTAAATCTTTCCGTTTGCCAGCGATTTCTCTTTTCGTCTTTTTCTTTCGAGTGTTTTGAAATTGCTTTCCACAGAGTTATCTGTGTTGCTTTCCAAACTCGAATAAACCGAAATATAATGTCTGTGTTACCAATTACATTTAAAGCAGTTTGTTGAACCTGTGGTTGAACTTAGGCACATAATATTTGGTAACATTAAATCTTAAAGTGCCAAATACAACTTAAAAATACTACATTTGAAAATAGGTACTTCCTTCGGTAACGATATTTTGAATCTCCCCCCACATACAAAAAACCTTGTTGCACTATTACCTTCATTCCTTCATTACAACCATTGAATGTAATGTCATTATTATTGAGTCTGGTCGCTATACATGTTGCAATTTTACTGACAGAAAAATTTCATAAGTTACCTCAATTTGTAGTACAGCTGGTTTGATTCTGGCATTGTCCCAGAGTCTCTGCATTTGCGTTATATTAAAATTCGATACTCCAATAGATTTGGTGAGATTGGCTTCTACAGCGTCTTCCAGCCCTTTCCACGTTTCCAAGTAGTCAGTCAAACTGATGCTGCCGTTTTTCTTAAAACAAATAAGTCATTATAATGAAGATAGTAGTTTTCAAATAGTTTGCAAGTTTCTTCTAACACAAAGGGTTTCGTTAATAATAGCTAAGATCACAATCCTTCACTTTACAAGTCATAAACATCTGACATTCTTATGTATCGAATGACATAAGATAACTTACTCTATAAACAATTCATGTCTGAAATGCCCTACCCAAACTATGCTCTCTATGACCACGATAAATAACTCTCTATAATAACGAAAAACATTGTCTAGTTTCTATTTAATAACATTCATTCATCATTAGACCTAACAAATTGACACTTGAAATAAAAAAGGTTGTAAAATCTACATTAAAAGTCTAACTAGTCCATTTACCCGTACTTGTTCATATTTTTCATGCCAAACCTAAAAATAATTTTCTTATTCAAAAACTTGGAATACAATGTGCATTGAAAGTTCCCTTAAAAACTTGAAGCACAATGCATTACAACATTTTAGTGATTCCCAAGTTTCCAAATTGTATTTCGACAAAAATGCTTGTCTTAAAAAGTTCGTCTTTGTTTCTCATGACGAGTGGGCGATGCAAACTTACAAGTCTTAAAAAACTGAACTTCTAATTTTACCAATGCTTTTGTTGCTTATTCTTACACAATAAATTTCTGTCTTTTGCTGAAACTCATTTTAACCTGACCTTTAACGTAGTACTTAAAAATAACTGATATGCTTACACTTTTCTCCATTCTCAAAAAAATTGATACTTAGTTAATCCTTCACAAAATCAAATTCTATACTATCTATGCTTCTATATCTATACTTCTATACTAATCTATACTATCTACTATCTATACTAATATTATAAATGCGAAAGTATAACTGTCTGTCTGTCTTGCTTTCACGCCTAAACTGTTGAACCGATTTGATGAAATTTGGCATAGAGATAGTTTGAGTCCCGGGAAAGGACATAGGATAGTTTTTATCCTGGTTTTTGAAACAGGGACGCGCGCGATAAAGTTTTTCTGTGACAGACAAAATTTCACGGGGGCGAAGCCGCGGGCGGAAAGCTAGTAATACAATAATTCATTATCACCACAGAATTACTCTATCAATATAATCGAACTATGACACAACTTTGGTCAACTATCAAGACACACTTTCTTCCCGAAACTCTAAACCGTTCTACCTAGTGATGTACGCACAATATCCGAATCCTTTTATTTAGAGCTGGGTGTCGTTTACAGAGCTCGCCTAGTTTGTATAAAGCTCGATAGATCTCAAGGCTTTTTCAGGCCTCAAGTCTTTTTTAGTGCAAGTCTTTTTCTCAATTTACTCTTTATGACATAAGAAATGCATCTATTGAATTATAATTTTGGATTTTATTAAAGGCTCAACGTTGTGAACTCTTTTGAAGACTTGAATTCTTTCGAAGTCTTGAAGCGTAGCTCAGTTAGCTGGCGTCTTGGCTAGGCTCGGACGAGGCATGATGCATCGAGGCTTCAAAAATAAAACTCGACGGCTCCAGTTTGTACATCACTAGTTATACCTTCGGGTTATCGAATCAAAGCGGTTAATCGTTAATCGGCCACGATAAAGACAAAATGCGATCGATCCAAGTTGTCCAACTCGAATCACGTTGCAGTAAAACGCTTTTTGATGGACGGTAGAGATTAATAGCTGGATCGGTACTTGGCTGCGGTGGTCGGATATAATTTATTGGACAGATTTAGGTGACCCTATTGGAGATGATCTCTGAAAATTTGAAACTCAATGGTTGTATTCAATTCTGAAAATTAACTTATCTAAATCTTACACTTCTACGTAGACAATAACGGACCAATAAGAGAATATCTTGTTTGAAAGAGATCGCTTCCTAGCGAGCACACATTTGAACTTGTATTTCTTTCATTTATCTGTCTTATGTAGTGTGGAATAGAGAGTATTCGCTCTCTATCAAGTACATTAATGAAATTTGATCACACAACAAAACAAGTCGATTATTTCCACATAATATGGTGATTTGAACCTAAACCTTTAACTTTTTGTATATTTGTAAACTCTGCCAGTTCCAGGTAATATAAATATTTAAATTAAAGGAAACACTGAAAATTAATTTGCATGAACGGTATCTGCTTTGTACCTACTCGTGCCTACATTACTAACATTAAGGGCATGTCTAAAGTAGTCCCTAGACTAATAACAAGTTATATTTTTACTTTAAAGATCTTATGCTAGTCAGTGGTCAAATAATTTGAAGTTGTATAATCTATAAATAAGAATAGCACTTTGTAAGCTCTATTAAAGTCTATACAAATAAAGAAAGTTTGACTTTGAGTAGTACTCGTAGTTGTATAATGATTTTAATATTTAGTCACAAGTTTGTTCTGACTTCGTTTATTAATATCTCTTACAAGGGCTTTTAGGGCACGTGTAATTTTAGCTGTCATTTATTCAAAATGTGAATGTGTGTAGGCAAAATGAGGGTTTTCGCGTATGTAAAATCCGCCAGATGGCAATACGTAGACGCGAGGTCCAAATGCTGCATGATTGGTGATTTTTGACATGACATTGACAGAGAAGTATGTCAAAATCCACCAATCACGCAGCAGTCAGACCCCACATCCACGTCCCGCCATCTAGTGGATCTTTCATACGCGAAAACCCTCATTAACGAGATACTGTGTAGATAGTCTGTCGTCAATTTCGGCTACTACTTATCCGCTTTAATATTAAATAAGTAGGTACCTACCTTATATGCCATCGGATAGTGCATCAAGTACAAGTCGACGTATTCCATTTGCAGATTTTCCAGGGACTGCTTCAGAGCTGGGATCACTTCATCCCTCTCGTGGGCATCATTCCATAACTATAGCATAAAAAGAGTTCTTTTATGACCATTCCACTTTTACTCAACCTTGGTATGATTTGCACCACCTAACTTTAACCGTAATTATAACGATAACCGGTGTTTTTGCATGGGGTTTGACAAATTTTTGACATTAAAGTTAAAGTAAGAAGCAGCACAGCCTAAGGCTGAGTAGCACCATCTTACATTAACACACGTCAAAAGTCTTTCAAACTCTATGCAAAAACACAGTTTATCGATATTATTACAGTTAAAGTAAGGTGGTGGAAATAGCGTCAAATATGAATCATGTTCTTACGAAAACGTTAATGTAGCTCTTATGTGAAAATCTTAAGGATTTAAGAGTAAAAAGTTCTGCAATACATAGTAACCATAGAACAAAGAGAAACCAACAACCAGATTGACCGAACGCTTATCCCCGTTCATTTGTTTTTCACCAAAATTCTTAATCCCATAAAAATACAAGACTAAAGAAAAAGGTTTCAGAGTTAAAAGATTTTCTTTGTTTCATCCGTTGCTTCCATTATTTTTAAATAAACTAAGATTTAGCTGGTTCTTTTAGTTTCGATTCGGATCCCTTAGACAGAATTAAGGGGATTAGTTGTATCGAACACTGGCTTATGTCAGGCGAACGCTCTTTTATATCCAGCGTAGTATAGATAATGTATTGAAATACGTAAGAGACTCTAGTGAAAGGCTTAGGGACTTCTATTTTAAAAATTTTTAACACAAAACAAAATGGGTAGACCGACCCTGTAGAGTAGACTATAGTTATAAAGTAAATATTCAGTCTGCGCCAATAGACCAGCAAATAGAAAATATGGTAAAAAGTATCTTTCTCTATAGAATTACTGTGATGTGACCCTAGAAATGCACATTTCTAAGTACATATTTTATACAAGATGCAAAAATAGCCTGTACGAAAAGGGGTAATTTTAGTGTTTAAATACAATAGCATTTAAAATGTATAGAACCAATGCAATATCTCAAAAACCAATGACGTTCACATATAAATTCTTGCAGCAGAATCATCTATTTTTTGTTTTCAAACTGCTAAATTCGGTTGACACGGTCTATATGTATAGTCTAGCTTGTCCCAAGCTAACATGGCAAGCGCAATGTCGCTGAACTAAAGACACGTCCGCAACTTACTTTCGTAGTGATGTACACGTTGTCCCTGTGGAGGCCTTTGTCCCGCAGGTAGTCCCGGACTCCCAGGCCGACCTCGTCCTCGGTGCGGTACAAGGCCGCAGTGTCGACGTGCCGGTACCCGGCCTCTAAGGCCCATTGTACTGCGCGAGCGAGTGAGTGGTTCGCCGACAACACTCGTGTTCCCTGGGTTGACATGTTTGGAAATAAATGTTTTAAGCAAAAATATTTTAACTAATTTAAAAATTTCAAGTAATATTTTCGTATCCCACTCTTTGTCGAAACTTGTCGATAGATTTCTTTGGGCTTTTTCCAATACTTATTCAAGGCCGGCTCGTAACCGGTAGGTAAAATAACAAAACAAAACTAAACGTAGAACCAAACTCATACAATAAGAGAAAATATAATTTTGTTCCAAATGCCTTCCATCGTATTTATTCTGTGGTATACGTCATTCAGCCAATAACACTCCTAACTCATAATCAACAGTACTCGATAGGAAAATCTGAAGCCAATTAGCGCGCTAGCGAATTTCAAAAAGTAAAACTAACAACGTTCAGTTTTCTCATCATTTTATTTATACTACTCTCTTCATGACTCTGCTAAAACGCTTTCTATTTTATTACGCAAAGTGAAATGTAACAATATCTTAGCTGAACTATTTCTCGAACCCGTAAATACAGTCGCAATATTTTAACGTTATCGTCATTTATTTCTTCGGTCGCATATTTCACGTCATAAACTTGTTTCTTGGCTCGATAGCGAGGGCACAAAATAGATAGTAACAGAAGACAATCAACTGTATGGCAATGTTCCACCATCTTAATTTACCTTTAACAAACGTCAAAATCTGTCGAACACCACACAAAAAACACGGGTTATTGTTATAGTTACTGTAAAAGTAAGACGGTGCAACTCAGCCTTAATCTTGCATACGCATACAGACGCACTGGTTTAGACTGGTTTATTTTTATTTTATATATTTATTAGGTTTATACCACAGCTGAAAATCGAGTTGTGTTAGTAATTACACTTTTGTTCGTTACACCAGGCCTATTCATCTCCGCGAGTTTACATCGAAAACAAAACACGCACGATGGCCCACCTACAGGATACTATTCGACAAGGCCTCACATACGAGGGAACATTGACTCACGCACGCGTATTCTTGTGTATGATGGAAGAAAATAAAGAAAATGGTGTACTAAATACTGTGCAGTATTTAACTGCCTAAATTATAATAAAAACACAGAATGTACTTTTTTAAGTTGCCTCAAGACACTGAGAGGTAAATAAGTAGTTAATATTATTCATGAAAATTCATGCTAAATCATGTATTTCCTCCGCCATTTTCCGTAGTTTGGCACCTCACGTCACATCATTTTACCGAAGTCAGCCCTAGAGCTTCGGCGCAATGCCGATCACTGACGTTGGTCAACAAAATGGTGCTTGACTCTTGAGACAGGCTAAATTACACCATATTGTTATTGACATTGAGCATACATTTTTTGAATACCTTCGCGAAGTAAAACTTCTGTACGTAGTACTTATTATTATTCTGTGGTTACACGTTTGAACGTGGCCTCTCACTATAGACCTTATACAGAAGCTCAAAGTTGCACAGCGTGCTATGGAGAGGGCTATCCTCGGTGTTTCTTTACGAGATCGAATCAGAAATGAGGAGATCCGTAAACGAACTAAAGTCGCTGACATAGCCCGACGGATTAGCAAGCTGAAGTGGCAATGGGCAGGGCACATAGTACGCAGAACTGACGGCCGATGGGGCAGCAAGGTTCTGGAATGGAGGCCACCTGAAAACGCAGCGTGGGACGTTCACCCATAAGGTGGACCGACGACATCATAAAGGTAGCAGGGAAGCGCTGGACGCAGGCCGCGATCAACATGGAAAGCATTGGGGGAGGCCTATGTTCAGCAGGGGGCGTCCTACGGCTGAAATGATGATGATAATGACACTTTCGGTCCGCGAGCGTTGTCTACAGCGGGGTCCAGACGGCTGTAGTGTATAATGTAATCCACCGTGCAATGTAACATGTATTCTACGTGTGGACGGTACTACGAGGATTAAATGTAAAGTGCTGCCCATATTTCCATAACATTACACGGTGAATTACAACAATACGCGTTACACCCGTCTGGACCGGCTTATGTTGTGTGCATTACCCAAGCGCACTTTGTGTGTAGATTTTCTACTGTTCCTATGTATTTTGTGGCGGGAGTGCCGATGCCCTGGAGGATAGAATACTCACATCAGCCAAGTGGCCGAGGCTCGTGCCGAGTGCGACTGAGGGTATGTCATGCCCATCGATCAGCTTGAAAGCGTGGTGAGCATTTGCCTGGAACAAAATACGAAACGTTGATTTTATAGTTGTTTTAAAAATTTACAAACTGACGCATTTCGTAATTATCAGTGGCGAATAATCGCTGTATGTAGATAGATTCTAAATCATATACTGTATCTTACATCTCTGTATAGGAAGGTCAAAGGTGCCCTGCGTGCCCAAACAACTGCACGCAGGAAGATATTTTAATGAATGCCACTAACAACGCCACTCTTGTAGCGGAGCTGACACTGGTTTGTTGTCGACACGACAAAAGAAGAAAGGTGATTATACATGCAAACATCAAAACTAGTGTTATCTAGCCGGTAACTTTCACCTACTTTTAAAATATCTTAAACTTAAACTACTAAAAGCATGGTCCTAAAAAATAAGATAAAGATAAGTTCAAGAGATTCGAATATCTTTAAAATTCATATTTTGCACCGCAATACATTTTTATGGATAAAAGTAATCGCAGCCGTCAAAATCCGTGGTGAATATGACTTTTATGATACTAATCGCGTATCCATCCATCTCTACTTGTTAATACCTTATTGTAGCGTAAGACACGTGACTGTTACTATACACGGCAAAATAAGCGACACAACTGAGTCAAATTTGAACAAAAACACAATAGAACTGTTTTATTTTCCATAACACAATAGGCAAAGCAATCCTAAAATCACGCGTTACACACGGATACATTTTACATAAGCTGTGGTAAGCTGGATTAGATACAGTGTCGAGTGCTTCCTAGTTTATCAGCTAACCCGATTTTACAGGTGCCCAGGGGACGCCCGAAACTTTACAGGTAAAATTTAAGTACGTATAACCCAAGGTGCAGGTAGTAAGGAATAGATAAGTAGGTGTGCCGCTAAATTATGTATTATGGTGAGTAAGTTAAAGGCGTAAACAGGGCGTAACGCCTGAACTTGGTTTGGTATCGACGAAATCTTCTTGTCTTGCGGTCGATTTGTGGGTCACGGGAATACGAGTATGCTGGTAGATTTTCAGGCGTAGTAACGTTTTAATTAACGTGTGAGTCTGAAGTAGAGGAAACGCTGTAAGGGAGAAACTACATACACCTTTATAAATCTTATTAAACTTTTACTTTGATCTTGAAATAACATAATTATCTACACCTTTCAAGGCAAATACTTACCTACGTTAGGAAGTTTTTAATGATAATTATTTATAAGAGCTTTAAAAGATAAGTAGTTTCTGAAAAAAATGTAACAAACAGACAAACATAGTGATTTAAGGTCCATATAAAGCGATACCTATAAGTTCTTGATGTTAAAGTTAAGTAACTTAAGATAGCAATTTTTCGTCAACCATATTATTATTATTAGAACATTATTATTAAAATGATTTAAGATAATGATGGAGCACGAATGAATGTGCCACGCATCATTACCCGCTTGACACATTGCGTGGCATCTATTAGCTTTTGCAGCTGCGCGCAGGCCCAATCGCTGCGATTACTCAAACGCACAACTAAATTATCGAGAAACCATTTGTCTGTTTTGATTGCAGTTATATTGGAATTAATTACAGTTTTAAAACCAACCGTTAATGCTGTTATATTTGTTTAGTACCTAACTCTTACCTTCTATTAATATTATTCTTCTTATCTTATAAATTATTTACAAAATTAATCATAGCCCGAGCACATTCTTATAACGCTCCGTTGGTCCAAAAAAATTGAGGAAATTAAAAAAAATCATAAGTTGAGAGTGTGAGATAGTGAGAGTGACTCCTTCCAAACTTGGAGGTTCCAAGTTTTACTCCCAGAGGGGACTCGTTACAACATTGAAGATTTAATTTACCTAATTTTCAGAAAAAACAACTATTTTATGAATCCGAGCTTTGGAAAGCATGTTAATCCGTCTAATTAAGCCATGTCAGGCACTGCCAGTGCTTTATTTATCCTTTGGGATACACAATACAAAGAAGTTTATATGAAGATCATTAACTAACTTTATTATCCATTTTGTAGCTGCATATTGCAAAATAATCAGAACAAAAAAAAATCCTAAGCATTGGCACAGGGATTAAGTCCCAACGCAAACCGTGGAGCTGCGACCGTTCAGTGGCGAGGGAAAATAATTTTAAAAACGAAGAAAGGCAACTCTTTAGCCGGCGGACTGTGCGGTCCAACACGCACAGGCTTAAATACCAATAAATCCGTCATACAGCAAGGCCAGCGGTGGTGTACCTTTTCTTCAGCTTTAATATCGATAAAATATGTCACATAAGTTTTTATGTTCATCGCATCTCTACATAAATAATAATAAATATTTTTTTTATTGCCATTAAATCAATGTACAGAGTATTTTTATGACTAGTGGCTTCTGCACTAAGCATAGCTTGTGTCGCAGTAGCCTTTTAAACATCTTATCACACTAGTTAGCTCTACTAAACACAACACAAGGTAAAGTCTTAAGGCACTTTGGTAAATTCTAGAAAAACCAAATATGTATTCTTGGACAGACCTATTCCCGGGTCTTAGAAGGGTTTCACATTGGTAGTCAGTTGTTTCATTTATTTTTAAACAATTAGCAAAACATAGATACCTAAGTAATTAAAATTGCATCTACCGATTCAGAGATATTTTTGTAGTCAGATTGTAAGTATTCAAACCTGCAAAGCCCTAGTGAAACAGGTGTCAAAATGCAAAAGGTTGGAAATCAACCTTGACCGAAATCTTAACAATATTAACATATCGAGCTATTGGCGGCTGGCGACAAAAATTTTGTTTTATCAAAAACGGTACCTAATGTATAAAAGGTTTACCATCCCTCAGCCAGGCGATATACTCTGGCTAACAATCGCGAACTATTGAATAACGATCCCTTTCTATTCTCGATAATCCCCAAGCTTTTCCCGTCGAAAAAACGTATAAAACCAGTCTTTGTACAACACACTCCGTGTATTTGGTGGTGTAGCTAAAATCTTTCATCGAGGCTTAAACCATTGTTGTTCATTATTTATGAAATGGATCAAAGCAAATTCAATCTCGAGCTCGATGAATTCATCGAAATAATACTTATTAATAATTAATTTTAATTTAGCATTGTGTACTTAGTTGTGTACTCGAGCTTTACATTTTTAATTAAACATAAATAAAAAATTATTAATTTGTAACTGCAATGAAAATTGTGTTGTTTTTGTTAGAAAATACACAAATTTAAAAAAAATACAATACAATATTTTCAAACAATATGTATTTTTAAAATATGTAACCTACTGGCAAGGTCAGTATAGGTACTTTACATCTAGAGACATGTTTTACCGACGAATCATTTTATACATAATCCAGAATGAAATTTTGTAATAGTAATAACTAGTCTTAATATTGTAGCAAGAAAATTTTACTCGAAGAAAACATTCCTTTATTTTTGAAAAGAATGAGAACTGCATTCAAAGATTAGTAGTTTCACTCCAGGTAGCACTATCAAATTCCACCCTGTATACTGCAACAAAAGTGCACCTATACCTATCTGATGTGCAGTCTACACTACCCAAATTGAATAAAAGAAAGTCACATCCATTCACATTGTGTTAACCCATTCACAAACCTAAGGATTATTAGGTCACTCTTCAAGAAAACAATACAGCCAATAACACTTGCAATGTCCCGGTTTCGGATTTAAAACAACTTTAATCAGCGACAATGAAAAACAATTAAAGTGATTAGAAAATCTTACCCAGCTTTGTTCCAGTAGGATAAACAATAGAACGCGGGGAAGCCCGCGTACGCTTGCTGTGTGGCGCTCCATCTGACTAACACAACAGGGCTGCAGCTGTGAGCATACCTGCACATAGGGTTACCACATCTAAACAAAGTAATGCCCGTTTTCCTCGTCAATCCCTAATTTTTAAGTAACCACTTTGAAAACAAAATTCCTGTTAAGTGTTACCATAGGAGTCACTTAAAAAATAGGGATTGATGTTGAAAACGGGCGTAATTTTACTTAAAATTTTGTACGAGTATAATGTTAAGATTTAATTCTCTATAAGTACTTATATTGATACTGTATATCTATACCTACTGATTGTTAAAATAGTTATGGTTCTATTACATTAAACCATCGTTTTGAATGAGCTAAGCTTAATGACTTCGGTAGGTAAGTAATGAAATTTGACATCAATCGTTACAAGTGAATAAAATTACCCTAACCAGTTAATACTGAATTAAAAGCTTTTCAAAAACCTTCCTAACTATATTCCGAAACCGGCAACCCTATCTAGGTGTGGTGGGCGTGTATCATATCAGTCGTGACTGAATAAATAATGCATGTTTTTTGATAAGTTGCACGGATCAAATCACACGATTGAAACACGAGCTTTTATGCCACGATAAAGCCAGAACCACACTGATAGTCAAAATCAAAGAGTATTATTGAAAGGATAAATCTGTAATAAGACAGGTTTTATTGTTGTGTACGAAAGTACCTACGTTATGATCTGAGGCGACGGAGTACATATGATCAGCGCAACGACCCGATAGGCCTGGTTTTACACCTATGAATTACGGATTTCTTCCACACAAAGAAGTACTACATACTAACCCCAGGCCATTAGTATTATACTAATCTATAAAATCAAATCAACCGTGTCACTTGCGGTGGACAGCCAAATAGGCACAGAAATAGGTGAGAGCAATCTGACAAACTAATTGATTAATCACATTAATTGTTACCGCTGATAAAGAGGCTGTCATCCAGTCAATAATGATATGAACATGCCAATTGTTACTTCCATGGTTGAGTGATACTCGTATCGCATGCGGTCGGCACGTGATACGCGACTGTGGTCACCAAATCCTATCAAAATTTTAATACACGTGTCCAACCGAATGTTCTGTCGGCAAATGATAATACGTTCTGTATACTCACTTTTACATTTCCAATTATTTATTTCAGTCAGTTAATTGACCCCATTGGAATGTTTAGTATCAAGAACGCTCTTATTAACTCGTTGAGGTGACAGTGGTTTAAATATTTCATTGCGATAGTTGTTTAAGTAGAATAGCTCAGTTTTGTGAAAGTTTCACTTAGTTCATATCAAACAAAAGTTTTTATAACTTATGTATACCTATTTCTATATTTATGTAAAAAGAGAAAAATATCCCTGATGAACATAGGCTGCATTATTATAGACTTGTGACAGACCAAAAATAACGCGGGCGAAGCCTACAAGCTACGTTGTATGAAATCAAATTGCTAATTATTGTGCTCCATTGCGCAGTCTACTTCTTTTATGAGGTCTTGTTAATAGACTGGCAATATATTTACTAAATAAAACAGAATCCTTAAAATTGAAGTGTAAATAATGAATAATTAATACTTAAGTAGGTACGAGTACAAGAAGTAAAAATCAATCACCTCATCTCGGCAAGAAATCATTATTATCGTATCGGCCGATAACAAAGACGGTTCGCAAAGTTCCGAACTGCTTCATATTGTCTTATCTTTTGTAAGATGGCTTAAACCCATTCACCAACGAAAAACTAATTTGCAACTTTTAATTAACGAGATTGTTGCAGATACTTGTGTCTAGGTTTCTTGCGAGATCTTGTAAACTATACAAGGTCTTATTTAAACTCCTTTTGACCTTCAACAAACTGGAAAAAGATTGCCTACCAAGTTGTTTAAAGACATCGTACATATTTGGAATACACTTCACGATCCTGTAGGGGAGACTGGGGCTGGTCCTAACAAATTTTGATTTGAGTGTAATATTTTCTAAACTGCTTTAGCAAGAAACATGGTTTTTTGGTACGTGATGTCAAATTTAATGAGCTTTACGTAAAGTACAATAAAATGTATATAATAATTACCATATCTGAGAAAAATCGAGTTTTGCCAAACAAGTCACTTGTTAGATCTTACCCCCGGTTTGGGGTTGGTTTTAACATCGCTGGGGAAAGTTTTAACAGCGGGGGTAAGAAATGATTTATAGTTGGGAATGGGATTTTGGCTAAGATAAACAACAAAATAATAATCAATGTTTATTAGAAACACTAATAAAATTAAATGCGGTTCCTTACCGTTCATAAAATAAACAGAAAACTTAAATTTTATTAGTTAAATAAACTGACTCACTCAATCAGCATTACTCAAATCAAAGAACAAAAAATAATTTTTGATCATCAAATGATCATTGAAATTCGGCTCCTTACTGTTTAAACATGTGTAATAAACTTAAAACTTACTAAATCTATCTTTATCAAATAAAATAACAAAAAAAATACTCCTCTAATAAATCAACATACAACTTTGGTTATAAAAGCCAGTCTTACTCAATGTTCGAGGCAAATATTAACGCGTTAGAACCTACCCCGTGCATTTTGTTAAAACCAACCCCACGACCTCATTTTGCACAAAATTATTGTTTTTCTTTTACCGGTTATATTTTCGATTAAAACTTTGAAATTAATGAAAAATACAATAAATTCGGATTTATGCAATACCAAAGCCAATTTTCTACGATACATATTTAAAGAGTAATGCAAAAAATTAAACACGTAAAAAAGTTCATTTTTCTGTGAAATTGGAGGCGTCTGACGCAACCTGCTCCCGTGACGCTTGGCCGGCAACTGACAGGTCGAGACACGTTCGCGCTTATTCGTAGGCAAAAAGTGCGTTGGAATTAGCGTGGTAAGTCGAATAGGTTCTATGTAATTACGCTGTTAGTATTTACCCCTGTTAAAACCAGCCCCAGTCTCCCCTACTTTTTTGGAATGAAGCATTGAATTTTTTTGAAGTAGGTACTAATAATAATACTGCCAGCAATTTCACAAACATGAATTCTGTCTACCATTAATTAAATTGAATAGCACGCCTTTAGCCTTTTTCCTTAAAATTAAGAACAAAACAACAAATTAATAAGGAAAATCAATCAAGACATTTCCAAGTGATGCTGTAATTACTAATAGTAGGTATGTATTGGGCATTCTAATTCACTTTTTACGTGAATCAATATTGGTCGGTGTAGCAATATTAAAGTTTGAGATTTGAAAATTCATTTGAAAACTTCCAACAAAGTCGTGGGTGAGAAGATTTCTTTGAAGTAAGCCCTAACATTATCAGCCAAAGCCAAATTGGGATATAAAAAATCGAAAGCCATTTTGGTATTAAAGGATAAGAAGGAAAGCGAATATTCTGCGGATCCTAGCAACATAACTGTAAAGATTAATATGTAAGAAAGCCACACATTTTTCTCGTGTATCCTGTAATAACATGTAAAAGTGTTATCGCAGAGCAAGATAAAGTGCGACACCTCCAGGGATCTGTTCGCGTTGAGGGCGCGAACTTGAGGACATTTTTAATAAAATCCGACTCATATGTGTCCGTCGTTCATGATGCAAAGGGTTTTGTCTAAAATATTTTTCCCTTTGCTCATATCATTCCCGAGCTGCCCTTTGATTTTTTCAAGAATTCTCAAGATTTATTAGAACACAATTTTTCGGATAGAATTTGTGTTATGAAACTGGCAAAGGAATCTCGGACCTACAAGAACACAGACTTTGCATTGAGAGTAGATAGTCGTACCTCAAGTACAGCTGATATAATTCAGTCTCATGAATATAAGACTAGATATCGAGATCATGTGGCTTTTGAGGATCGAGTTAACCATTTATGGTAACTCGCCGACGCTATAAATACTGGTGCTCAATCCCACCCGTACGAAACAGGCGATAATAAATTATTACACGTGGACCCTTCGCGTGGTTAAGCTACGAGGTATTGGACGTTAATGTATCGGCTGCGGAGGGGGGTATTATTCTGTTTTACACAACCAAACTATCCAACCCTGACCTCCCGTCCCGCTCTCCTTGCTCGAACAGCCCAACAGATACGTGGAAACGTATCGCTCCCCTGGGATCTCACTAAATTGGACACTACGTACTAAATCTCCTGTACAACCAATCTTTACTTTTGGTAATTTTGAGCGAAAAATTGAACTGAGATTGAAACGCTTAACGAATTTGGCAGAGGCTTTGGCATGTGAATTAAATGATGTAAAATGTCCATTCTTATGTAGAACCTAAATGTAGGATCGTAAAATCTGTTCGTATCGTAAATACTGCAAAGTTTTAAACATTTTTATAAACGACACTTCTGACAACTTATTTACTACCAGACTGAAAATATATCGTGAATAAATCATACCTTTTCTTCGTTCCGGATTAGCATGTGACACGTGTAGGAACTTCTATTTTGCTTCCGTAAAACAGTTTGTTATTGAATTTGAAATGTTGCCACGTTTTACATATTAGCAAATTAATTTAATATATTTTCGTCATATACCTATCATAAATCTGAGAGTGCCATTATAATTATCATTGTTATTGCTAAAACAAAACATATAACATAAGGAATCCTTCTTCAATTAATTTACCCACCATGTTCTCATTTTGGGAGCTTAGATGTTTTTTACCTTTCCTCAATCCTAACTTCAAAGCTTCAAAGTAATAAGATGATTAAAATTCATAAAAATGGATTCATTAAAATCGCTGCTATATTTAGAGCTTAGTAAAATTGCCAGAACACCAGCCATTTTTGTTGAAAAATAGCATCTGGTACAACTTACACAAAATGCCAGCGTTATCCTTGAAGTACTGGTAGCCTACATAAAATTGGATTAAGGCCTATTCAGACCTAAGCGGTATTCGCTACCGTCTGCGGGAGAGAAAACCCAGTGGTTATGCGGTAATAATACTGTTCAGACCTAAGCGGTATTCGCTACCGTCTACCTATGTACCTCTACCCACAGCGGCAGCGAATATCGCTCA